CTTGATAGAAAAATAAAATAAGCTTCCAGACCTTCTCTTCTCAACTCCAACCAACCCCGGCCTTCTCCTTTCCTTTCCTTTTCTATCCTTCCTCCTTCCACTCACGCCAGCCACACCCAAAGCCAACTGCAGCTGTCCCAATCTTTTCCTTCCCAGTCAAGCTCCTGCAAGCACTCTCAGGCAGTCCCCGCTACACATGCTTAATTCAAAGTACCAATTGAAGAGAATATACGTAGTTCAGGGTTGAACTGTAGAGTCCTTGGTATTCTCTGAGCTTGGTTGTTTGCTTGTAGACATTTCCTTACAAAACATCTGCAAGCCACAATGCTCAGAGAGCTCCAGGCACTCCAGTTATCTCATAGTAGCTATAAGAAATGTGTTGAATATAAGGTCTCTTCACCAAAGATTAAAGACTCTTATCTACTATGCTGCTCCAGTTGGTTCCTATCTAAGGCTGAGAGAAGAAGGCTGGCACAAAGTCACCCATCTGGCTTCAACGCCTGACAGAGGAGTAGAACCTGGATCTTCCTACTTCTAATCCCTTATCCAATACACCACTCATAAGGTGTTAATTCAGATAGTTAAAACTGGCAACAAATTCTTGCTATATGTATATCTTAGTATGCACAGTTGAAGATAAATGAAATTCATGATGCATTGAGTATACGACAATGTGTATGTAATTGATTACATTGCACTTTTATTATATTAGGCCGTAACTTATTGTTGTCCGGAGTAGTTGTTGTCATTTATACACAACACACAAATGCAATCCTACATTGATACCTTATTTTGAGAATTGAGAACATTCTTTAAAATCCAGTAGCATGAGAAACCATGCATATAATGAGGGAAGGCTTGAAAGCACATTTATTTGAAAAAAAACCTACCTCCAAGTGTACTTAGCAGGATAGTGTTAGAGAACTTGCATTTGGGCCACAAAACTAGTTTGACTGGCAGAGACAGAGACAGAAAGAGAGAGAAGATAGAGAGACAATCTGTGTGTGTGTGTGTGTGTGTGTGTACACACACACATTCTCAATTCCTTTAATTCAGCTATCACCAACATTTTGAAATTGTAACACATCAAACTGCAGATAGCAATCTTTAGCTAGGTAAAATACTCCAGGGCACATTAAGAAATATCATAATATCACCAGTTTAATTAAACACTGCAGGCTTAAATACATATGGCATGATCCTATCAACCTTTTTTCAGTATGATTATTTGTGAGACTCACTTATCAATGGAAGAGGTAATTACGGGTTTACATCTTTTCCATATAAACAATTAGAATTTACAAAGGTTTCACTTTGCTCTGGCATATTCCTTACTTGAAATATTCCATAAAATTCAGTTTTCAAATACTGCATACAAGCCATTCAACATTTCAGTCCCGCTGAAAATCAGTAAAAGACAGAAACAGGCTTGTTAATAATAAGACAATCCAATTATTAGATCAATATTTATTTATTTTTAAAGTCATAAACTTTTTAACTTTCCATATTGTCTCAATATAAATTTTGAAAAGCAATATAAGTGAAAATGGAATTCAAAGTTTCAGATCATGCTACATATGCTTACTATTATATAATTTCACTTCTGCAGATTCAGAAATATTACATAAATAACATTCCAAAACTACTTTGGACATATTTAGAAAATGAAGTGTGATTAAAATGAATCTTAGCATTCATTCTTTTAATTTACCTGTAAAATTTTGCAATTTCTCCCCAGGGCAAAGTGGTGGAGCAGTAATTCTGAAGTTCAAGCAGTTTTTATTTACAAGCCTGGCAATGTCATAAAAAAGAGCCCTCCAGATAATCCAGACAAATTTGTGGCTTTCATAATTACTTTAGTATATATAGAAAATAGGCACATTCACACAGCAAAGGCTACTGTTTTCTAGAACATCCCAACTACTGGAAATTCAGTAGCTGTCATTATTCTCCCGTTGAAGATTATAACATTTGGCTGGGAATATTATGCATTTTACAACTTCATTCTTTGTTTTACTTCTTTCACAGCTGCCTTTGTGGTACATCAGAATGGTAAACCAATTCCTGACTACTGCAACAATAAAGGGCAGGCAATACATACATTAGCCCAATTAAAAATAAAGCAGCTGAAAATGCTTGAGCCAAACAGAGAGGTTTTTGACGGGGTACCAAAAATGCTGGGCTGATGCCAATCACAGAGATCTGACAACCATTTGTCTGAAATGGAATAGGGTTTGCAATAGTAGGGAATATAAGATGTAGTTTCCTGCCTGAGCAGGCGGGTTGGACTAGAAGACCTCCAAGGTCCCTTCCAACTCTGTTATTCTGTTACAGCTCCCTGGGGAAGGTACTGCATAGCCTGTTGACCATCTCAGAAATGACTCTCATTTCTTAGGTCTGAAAGACTTAAAGAATCTCGCCCTGAGGTTTTCAGCCGGCAGGCTGGCAAGCATTGCCCAGATCTAAGCCGCCTGGCGCTACAAGCATACACACAGCCCTCTGCTGTAAATTTGGTTATTGGATCTAATCTAGCTCAAACAGCACCCCGATTTGTTCCCGGGTTTTACTCCAAGAAACAGGCTAGGTAGGTCGAGGGTCGATGCCCTTTGGCGGGGGCACCAGTTTGGGATTTTTAACCTCCCCAAGCTGAGCCCTGCTCACTGTATAACCAACAGCAAGGAAAAGTTAAGGCCTCGCGCACCGATCGGCCCGCCGGAGGGACCTGCAAAAATTCTGCGAAGGGCCGAGGTCGATTATCCCGGTGGAAGGGCAACCAGGTAGGTAGGAGGCCGGTCGGATACCGCCACCTGTACGGCACCTCGCCCTGCGCACCTGAGACGAGGCTCCCGCTCCGCAAAAGAGGAAGGGACGGAGGAGAGGAGCTGACCCGTGGCGGCGCTTTCATTGGACGGAGAGAAGAGAAGGCGGGGCTTGGCCAGAAGAGGCACCAATGGCTTCCCAGCGAAGGCTCGCTGGCGGCGGCGATGGCGGCTCGGTCGGTGCCCACCTTGGCCGAGCCACCACCTCGCATCCCCACCCAGTAGCCTCTCGGGGGAGGGAGGAGGTGTGGAGGAAGCTCCTCCCCCTCTCGCCCAGCGTTCGAATGGGCTGGCCCGACAGTCCCGGAGAGAGATAATGACAATATATACCACTAATGACAGCGGCGGTAGCTCGAGTGTTGTCGCGCCCGCCAGCAAGGCAGCTCGCCCGCGTGGGGGCTGAGAAGAGGGTCCGCCTGGCGCTTCCTTCGGGAGCTGGGAACGCTCCAGGACGCGATCGGAGGAGGAAACGGGACTACCGCTTTTATTGCGTGGTTTGCTGCTGTGGCTTTTTTTTTTTTTTCATCCCGACCGGGAAGGATTTGAGCTTCTGCGGGGAAAGGAAAAAAAAAAAAAATACTCAAGAATCGCTTGGCGGAGGGAAACGATTTGAAGTTGCTTCCAAACTTCTCAGCCACCTGTTGCTCTCCGCTTCGCCGCCTGAAAGCAGACAAACGAGGAAGGGAGAGGGAGGGAGCGACGGCAAAGCATCCCTGCCCTGGTCAGACGCCTCTTAGGGGGAAGAGGGTTCAAGTTTGTTAAAACCCTGCCCCGATGGTGGAAGAAGCCAGAACCAGAAATAAAAGCTCACCCGAACGCCTCTGCCAGGAGTGAGTGATACGCGCTGATTTTGCTTTTTAAGAAAGCGACAACACCGCACTTGAGACGCGACTCAAAAATCGCCCCCATCTCCCCGCCCGATACATTCTTCTTCTTCTTTTTTTTTAAGCTTACAGACATCAGCAACCTTTCTCCAAACTGTGACTTTGGCGGGAATGAGTTGAGTTCGGGTTCCTTTTTGGGAGAGTTTGCAGAGGGAAAAAGAAAGCCCACCTGCCAGCGCTTTGGAACCACGCCTTACCTTTCCAGGAATCCCAAAGCGGAGACGACCTATTCTTCCCACCCACTCCCATTGCGAGACTTTAGACCGGGCAGACATGTACTCCAGCTGCTGAGTCCGTCTCCCGGGGATCAAAGCTTGAGTCGGCAGAAGCTCCCCCCGAGGGAGGAGGCAGGGGCTGCCTGGGAGGGGGGCGGCGGAGGACAGCAGAGTTGGGGGCGCAACCATGAAGCTGGAGATCTTCGCTCCGCGATACGAGGAAAAGCTCAGCGGCAACAGCGTCAGCGACCAGGAAGGCAGCAGCGAAGCTTCCCCGCGGGCCGCCGAGAGCGAGCTGGGCTCCGACGGGGATTGCGCGGCGCTTAGTCCGGCCAGTGGTTGCGCAGGCTCTCCCCGGCAGGGCCCCGAGCCTTCGCCTTCGCCTTCCCCGGGAGGCGAGTGTAAAGCGGCCGCAGGGCTGTCTGGAAAGCCGTACACGCGCCGCCCGAAGCCTCCCTACTCCTACATCGCCTTGATCGCCATGGCCATCCGGGATTCGGCCGGGGGCCGCTTGACCCTGGCGGAGATCAATGAATACCTGATGGGTCGCTTCCCTTTCTTTCGCGGCGCCTACACGGGCTGGCGCAACTCGGTGCGTCACAACCTGTCGCTCAATGACTGCTTCGTCAAGGTGCTGCGAGACCCGGCCCGGCCGTGGGGCAAGGACAACTACTGGATGCTCAACCCTAACTCCGAGTACACGTTCGCCGACGGCGTCTTCCGCAGGAGGAGGAAGCGGCTCAACCGTCCGGGGCTCCCTCCGGCCGCCGGGGGCTCCCCCTCGGCTCAGCCGTCCCCCCCGCCGGCTTCCCCGAGTGCCGATCAGAAGTCCCTGTCGGGGGAATCGGGCGTGGGGCCCGTCGGTGGCGCCTCGGCCGTCGGCACGAAATTCTCCAGCCCCTTCGCCATCGAGAGCATCCTGAGCCGGCCGTACCAGCCTTCCGAGCCGCAGCCGCGGCCCCCCGCGAGGCCAGTGGGGGAACGGGCGGTGGCGTGGGCCGCCCCCCCGAGCTATTCCCGGCTCCTTGCTCATCCGGCCGTCTCTTACGGCGTCGTCCCTGCTTTCCCTCTGGCGGCGGCCTCCGCCGTTTACCACTACGGCCTCCCCGATCCTCTGCTGCTAGAGTCCTCCAAGGGCAAGGCTTTGAGTGACCGCCATCCGCACCAGCCCTTCCACGCGAGACCCTCGTCTTTCTGCTCTCCCCGGCTTTCGTCGGCGCAGTTACAGACGCTGGGCTTTTCTCAGCTCTACTGCCCCCTCCGGCTGCCCAGCTCATTGCAGCAGGTAGCCACCAGTCACAACACCTACCGGCCTTACAATACATCAGAGACTCTATCGGTATAACGACCGAACGGTCTAAGACCCCTGTGAAAGGCTGGGGTAACGTGGGGACAGACGACAAGTGTCTCTTGACGCACTTTAAAAAGGAAAAAGGAAAAAAAAATCCAGACTCGGTAGAAAGACTGTGCCTTAAAAACGCCGTTTTTCCCCTCGAGACCAAAACCAAAAAGCTGTTCAGATTTTTTTTATATAAAAAGATTGGACTCTAAAATGGACAGCAGAGCTTCTTTCTGATTGGCTGAAGGGAAACCGTTTCCTGCCGACGATTGGTTGTTTGATGGCTGGTGGGGGCATCCATGAGGCTGCAGGTGCCCTGCTTCTTAAAGAGAATCTGGAGAGGGGCATCCGGAGGCTGGGATCTTTTCTCCAAGGTTGTAAATAAAGCATACACTGATCCTGAAGTAAGTCCCATCAAATTAATTTGGGCTATTCCCAGATATCTGTTCATAGCATTGGAGCCAACCTAGATAAGGATGCTAACACTTATTAAGGGTGAGCCTGAATCCTGAACAACAGGTAGAGATGCTATCAAAGGGGAAGATATTTGGCCAGTGAAAAACTGAAATTTCAAAAGCCTCAACTATATTAAGTTAGGTATAAACTACCTGAGTTAATTCAGCCATCCCCCTGGGTCATGTCTGGGGCGCATGGGATTTAAAATCCAAATATATGGAACATGCCAGGTTTCCAATCTAAATGGAATCAAGGCTGAATCCTACGCACCCTTCAGCTTGGAGCAAACCCCAGGGAACGCAAAGCGACCTAAACTCCCAGAGCAGCTTTAGACCAAGCAAGATTAGCATCTGAGCATGCATTACTTAGGATCAGTAAGCATTTTTCAGCTCCATAGTAAGGTGACTCAAGGACAGCCTAATTGCAGTGCAGCTGAGAGAAAGTGAGATCTCTCTGAAACAGGGCTATGCAGTGGAAGCGAGGCCAGTCAACTTGAGCAGCCCTTATATCTGGCGTTTGGGAGATACTCAAATGTCATGCCAGGCAGTATCCTTTCAGCAAGGAAACTCCTGTAATGCTGGACTCCGAGGCAGAGTGTGCTAGCTTGCAGAAAAACAAGTGTTAGAGGAGGGAGCAGTATGGCACACAAATAGCCAAGGAATGGAGTTGGCGACCTTGGGGCCAAGAGGCATAATGGGCCCTAACTAGGCTTCAGTCTAAAAAGAGGGGTGATGGTAAACCATGGTTGCAGTCTTTTCCAGGACTGGCATCTACAGCAGCCAGTCCCAGTAGAGACTGGCTAGGGCTGCCACTAGATGGCAGCCAAATAGATGGGAAACATTCTAAGTCTTTGCTGCCATCTATTAGCCTTCCAGAGTTCTGCAGCCCGTACCCAACAGTGCTAATATAAATGCAACCGACTGGGATAGCTTCCCCTTCCCTCTCCAAGAACATCAGGCATCAGCAAGTCCCTTTCCCTTGAATATAAGCACTAGCTCTTTAAATGGTGACTGTTGTTGGGGGGGGGAGTTGGATATTGAGAGGTTTGCCTTGGGGCCCAGAGAGCTGGGAAGGAGAGAAAGGAGTGATTTTATAGATGTCAGTCTACTGAATTTCATCACATGTATTCTGGAGTAAACTCTGCTCTAGTACTGCAATCTTAAACTGATTTACAGCAGGCTCGAGGCAGAGGAGTAACTGGATGAGAATCATGACTTTAGACACTGAATTAATGGAATCAGGGTTTTGTTTAAGAATGCTTTGTTGGCATTTCACTTCTGGATTGAACAGGAAAAGTGCCAAGTTTTCACAAACACTGAACTTTGAGTTCTTGTTGCACATACCTCTCCCTATGAACTGTAGGGATTAAGTTATTTATAACCTGCAAAACTCTGATGTTTAAATAAATGCAGGCTATCTTTTTCTCATTTTTTTATTTCAATGCAAATATACATATATTTTAAAAAAATAAATATGATTCCCCACCACATTGATGTCAGCTTGTTTGCTAAACCTAGTTCAATGTCCTTTCCCTTCACTCCCATCCACAAAACAAATGCTCTGTTGGTTATATCCTGATAACTGTTTAGTCAGACTCTTCCAAAGCAGAAGGAGGAGGCCCAAAGTAGGAATAACCAAATGTGTTGCCCTGAAAAGGGAGAATACTTGCAGAAACTGCCTGTCGCAAAATCTTTGTATGTCTGCATGGGTTCATGAAAATCGTGATCAAGATAATTTTGAAATAAAAGATGAATTTTTTTTAAAAAAAAAAAAGTCTTGAATTTGGAGTTGCCTGTGTTTATTCTGAGGGTCCCTGCTTTCAAAGTGGGCAGTGTCGGGAAAAAATGAAGCTGGGGAAGAGAGAGAATGAACAGGGGCAAAAATAATTCTGTACCTGTATATGAAAGGGGAAAAAAACCCAAGAAGGACAAGTGATTGACATCCATGTAAGATTTGGGAGGCTCCTTGAAACTAACCAGGAACACCATCTAAAGGAAATTGGTTGTTACTTGTCATTTCTTTCCCTTGGAAATAAGTGGAACAATACTGTACTGTTTAATAGGACTCACCAAGCCAGTTGGGCACAGGGCTGGGGTACAACGCCTATAATAGAATAAACCCCATTGGAATCACTGGGTCCCCAATCCTATGTCCTCTGGTTTGGGAATATTCAGTGAAAGCTCCTTCTGAATAGACTGTTTGATAGGACTTTGCTGTGTAAGTTTTGTCTAGGTAAGCAAATTTTACAAAATGCAAAGGGGGGAGACCTCTTGAATCATGAGAATAAAAAAGATTCTCCCACCCCTTTTTTCCAAATTTGGCCTTATACTACGGTATTAAGAATACATCCCTTAGTTTTACTCTTTAGGCATATTCCTGGATTGCTGAATTACAACTTTCACCCAGCATCCTTCTCCACTAGCTATGCTATCTGGGGCAGCTGAGAGTTTGAGATTCTGGGGCAGCTGAGAGTTTGAGATTCTATATTCCAATCTGGTAAAGTTCCTCACCCTGATTGTACAAAAGGAACAAAAAGGAACAAAAAAAATGGATCATATCTTAGTCTTCTAGTGATGCTAAATCAAATTGCGGAGAGTTGGAGGAATGACAATCCCATTAATTTCAAAAATACAGTAATGGGTTGCAAAAGGTTTAAGAATCATATCTGTTGTATTTCTGCTTCTCAATAGTAATAATGCAGAGCTGAAGGAATGCAGGACTTGCATTCCTGCATTTGGAATTCTCTCCTTTTTAATCAATGCTAATCAACCTGCAACTTTGATTGGGAAATACTTCTGTTAAAGGCAAAGGCTACCACATTTTCTCTGGCACATTGTTAATTTGAACTATGCTTTGAACTACAATTCCCACAACCCTTTGCTATGGGATTGCTGGCTGAGGGCTGATGTGAGTTGAAGTCCAACACATCTGGAGGACAGCAAGTAGCTTCCCACCAATCAGTTCTCTTCTTCTAATGCCTTGCAAGCCTCACAGAGCAGGTGGGAGGGAGCTGTTGGGCATGGCACTTCCAAACATTTTTCTGGATAGGAACTTTGCAGTCCAAACTTTTCAGCCACTGCTCTTAATTCAAAACCAGCAATCAGAACCTCAAAAGAGAAACAGGATGCTCTAAACTTGCTAAGGTTTTGAATTAAAAAGTGACACTGCACTCAGTGGGACTTGCTGTAGCAATGGATGAAAGGGAGAGGAAATGTTTTGCAAGGAGCAAACCTGGTTGAAACACAATCTTCTCCTCTTACTACCTCCCAGATTCTTTTGAAAGGTTGTCGGGGGACAGTTTTAGCAAATTAAAAGGAGAAAAACATTTGTCTTTGCAAGAATGCAGTTGAGGCAGCAGGGCAAGTACCTAAAACACGGAATGTTTTCCTGCTTCACCTAAGTCTAAATTTAGAAAAAAAAACCTAACTCAACCGATTCTCAGATGGAAAAATCAGATTTTAAACCAATTATTATGGCACCCAAGGGGAAAGGAGAGATTAGCCATGTTCCTTTTCACTTCCCTGTTATAAATCTCAGTTCTCCATGGAACTATTTCACAACTGCCTTGAGAAATACTTTTTAAAGGGATTTGGGCTAGGACCACCCACCCACACAAAATATACAAGACTTTAAGCTCAACGGCACGTGCTTTTCAGTGGACTGAGTTATTGCCAGGACCCATTATTTTATCAATTCCTCCACTTTGGAACTACATTATTATGAGCTTAGGGAATCACTATTTTACAAATGACTTTGTTAATTAAATCTGAGTAGGAATTGATGAAGTTAATTGAATGAAGCTCTGAAAGGGAAGAGTAGCGGTGCAAACTCTCTCACACTCAGAAAGCCTTGTCTAGTTTCATTTATTGATTTCCCAAGCTAAATCTAGCATATTTCGAGTTTTTTGGATGAAGCAAGAAGGCAACTCCTCAAATCAAGCTCCCTTGAAAATAAGTGGATTTTAACAAATATAGCAATGCAAAGTGGCATCAGAATGAAGATAAGTGTTACCACCAATTTAATTTCTTCTCCTCAGACCTCACCCAGTAAAAGCAAGAAACTGAAGTTTAACTGGAAAGCTAATTAGGAATGTTGCTAGATTGTTAAATGTATATGCTGCCTCTACCAGGAGTACATGATGGCTTTACATGATATTCCTGGCCAGGTGAAATAGTAATTTTCTTGCAGAGAGGAATTTTAGCCTGGGCCTCCCAGTTCAAAACCACTCCCCTGCATCCCACGGATATAATTCCATCGTTCAGAGTTGAGTTTTATTTCTTTTAACAGAAGAATCTGAAGGTAACAATTTTGCTCAGCAGCTCCCGCTTTCTCGTACCAACCCCCTTCCATCCCCCTTCCAGTAACTTCAAAGTTCTAAAATGCTTTTCTTTGCAAATCCATGCAAATCAAAAGTGACCTAAGGAACACGTATTGATCCCATATTTATCAGTTTATATCGGGGACTCCATTGGCACTCTTGCCTCTCCCTATTTAACAGACCGGTTTGAAGTTTGCAGCCAGAAATGGAGACAGAATTCGTACCTCGCTCT